AGAGATGTAGAGCAGGTCTATTTAGGCTACGCTGCACATTGGTCCACTGGGATACCAGCTACCGACCAGTACACTGAAATAGAAATGGGAGCAGAGGAGAGCGGAGCAGTGGAGGGAGAAGTAAGGTGTTGCGAGATGAGAGGGATGGGATGTGGAAGCAGCTAAAGGGCAGGTGGAGGGGTTGATGAGGAGCAGGCCTGCAGGGAACACTAGGGAGGTATAATAGAATGCAGAAAGTGACAAGAAAGTGCACAAACATCCCAACATGCATGCAGTATGAAAGGAAATATTTTCCAAAGTTTAGAGTTTTATTTCAAATAAATAATTTGACTTGTTTGGAAATAAGCAGTTGTTACCTTGTATAGTTGAACAAGGAAGTTGACAGGAATTTGACAACAATATAAATGGAAGATATAGAAGATTTTGTCTAGACAACAGGCAGAGCATCAAACAAGTCAGGTTGACAACAAACCTCATGCTTAAAATTTAGCACTTTGTGTAGATTAGCACATTGAGAACAAGTCAAGCCTGAAATAGTTTCACTAAGTTTTTGTGGGCTGAAGAAGAGAAGAAAAAAGACAGATATGACACATGGAGTGGAGGTGTTAGTACTATTTCACTGTGAGCTGCACCAACACCATCAGTGCCAGCACTATGCAAATGATTACATTTACAAAGATGGTTAGGACACTGTCTGATATGCACCTTTAACAAAGACAGATATTTAGAAAAAAGCTTTTTTTTAAAGCAGTAGAGTTTCCAACCTGACACAGAAACGAACTGATACTGTGATCTATCACATGTTAGATACCCAAGGAGAAACCACTCAGATTTATTGAAGCTCAACATTTAGTTGTTTTTTTTAAAGGTAGAACGCATGCAGCTTTTGCGATTAAAAGTTTGGTTAACCTTTGCCCACCAATCATCCATGTGTGCAGCTGGTAGCTTCAGGAGAAGATGTGTGTCTGCGGCAGTGTGGAGTGAGGATATGCATTGATTTGGTGAGGAAAAAGTGACAGTGCCACAAAGGAGCATGTGAGCTAAAAATTATTATTTTGACAAACCTACTTTGGAAGTTTGTTGTGTCAAGAAAAACTTATAATAATGAAATAAAACTTGTATTCATGTGCATCCACACCCATCGTTATTCTCCTGCAGAACTGGAGAAGCGGTGTCCCAGTTTCCACAACATTTTGCAGACTACTGAGACCTTGCTTTAGCCACCAGCTGTAACTTTAAGCCCATTTTACAATTCATGTCTCCTTTCCAATGGATTGTAACCTTTAGCTTTGTTTTGCGAAAACAGGTGTACCATCAGCTGTAACTTAGCATCTTGGTTTCCAACCAAAGGAAAACTTGTGCTATTCAGTTACAGGCTGCCCAACAAAAAGGTTAACTCTTCACCTCAAAGTCACAGGAAGAGGACTTGCACATGTGTAACTCCATCCCAGATGGAAGTATACACTACAAGAAACAATGCAGCTGATTAAGGTGATGAATTAAAGCAACAGAATTCAGGAGAGGCAAATTTTTTCTTCAAACATATATATTGTAGCAGTCGTTTCTTTCTACTTTTGCTACCATGTACTCAGTACCTCCATTGTGAAAAAATTGTATAATGTTTTCAATCAATTCTGCAAGTTTGTTCATTGTTGAACCACTGCAGTTATCTTAAACAAGCTGAGTGGTCTGAATGGTTGCACAGCCGTTTTTGCAAGTTGTAATTCTAGGGCCAGAATGCATTTTGGTGTAGGCACTATTAAACAGAAGAAGGCTAATAGGTCAGTCATGCTAAGGGCTTCTTACCCCTGGGACACATGAACTTAACAAACACTGCATGTGATGACAGCAAACATTACTGTAATTTTATTTCTAGGTTAACATATGTTCTGTTGGGCAAGTATACCAGCACAGAGGGAAACCTACAAGTCACACAGAAACAGTTAGTGATGTGTTCAAGGATATTTTTTTTGCCACAATTCATGTGTTTCACCGATAAATTATACATCTAAAATGGGATCTCAAGTTGACCCTTTCTGCTTGTCATATACATTGGATATAAGCACCTTATAAGGCATTGTTTTGCAGGCACACTGTTACCATTGTTGTGGTCATACAAATGTGCACAAACGACATGTTACCTTCCTCTCTTTGGTTTCATGAATCTACTGAGGTCAAACAAAGCCTCATCCTGTCCCCACACTTAATAGAAAGCACTGTTATTCATTACTCATCAGTTGTTTTAAGTTATGTTGTCCACAGCGTCACAGGACACAGGATATTTTGCTAGAACAGTTTAGTTTTAGTCTCACTACGTTAGCGCAATAACAGCGTAGGTTGTTCTACAGAAAGCACGAACTTCTGAGTAAATCACTAGTATATATTAAACACAAAGCAGAACATCCCACCTGGAAAGATTATTAAATGTTGTCAGTAAAGTACTGTTGACCCCTCAGTGAGGTCACTGATGTATTTTTCTATGTATGGTAAAAAAAAAAAGTATATATACTGTATGTAAACTTAATATATGTAAGTTTCTATGTCCATAAGTTGAATGTGAATAACCAAGTTACTGTGGTTAATTTAAATCTCCATAAGCATAAAACATTCTACAGCAGGGAGGGAAAAGTTCCTTATTCCTCTTATTTCAAAACATTGTTTGTGTGTGTTTTGTGTGCATGCATGCACGCATGGGTTCAAATGTCCTTCCCTCGGACAGAAACGCATGCACGCACACACACACACACACACACACACACACACACACTCACACACACACACACACACAGACACACAAACAAACCTGTAAGTAGCTCTTAACGGACTCATGCTGGACAGGCACTGTATTAGTTCTGACAAATTCAGTAAATATCACACAAATGGAAATAATGCCACTCAGAGTTAGCATTCATCAGATGAGACCGGTTGTACATTTGCAATTGTAGCCTAAATTTGAAATAGTAGTTCCTACAAGCAGACAAACAAATGGGTATACTATCATACCATTAAAGACCCTGGTATTTAATGGGTTCCGCACATTGTCCCATAAAGTGCTTTAATAAATGCTCTGCAGATGTTTTACATTTTGCTTACATTTGATTAGCTACAAGGAGTTTTTTTTCTCCTAAAATGATTGCTACAGCAATATCTCTAATCATCAGTCTAAAATGGAACATCAGTTACTATATATTTCTTTTGTTTTTTAAATTATACATTTGAAAGATATGAAATCAGATTTATTTGAACTCATTTAATTAATCAAGGATATTCAGCATTAATGATACTTCGTGGTATAAGTTGGACAAAAATGTAATTGATCAAAACAGAAAGCATGTGGATAAGAACCACTTGATGTTTTTATTTGCAAACTTTAATTACAGCTATTCTAATCTCATCTCCAGTCTGCAGGCTGTGATCCTGGGTTAATGATGAGCACACTAATAAAATGTAATGCCTGAATGTCTAATCAGGATGCTCATGACGATGGGAAAATGAAAATATAATTTTATGTCACTTATGATAATTTTATTGCTAGTTTGAATTCTGTTTCATTTCAGTACTGCTGTTTCACTGCAAGCATTGTCTCACACAGATGTTGTAATTATGAATTATGAATTGATGAATAATAGTCACTGCTTCTCCTATTTGGTATTCTCAGACACCCAGGCAGCAGCTAAATAAAAGTTAATGGCATCAAATTCTGGGAGAAGTATGCAGGAATTCACGTCAGAATGTGAAACAAAAACTAAACAACACACTGCTGGATGCAAGTAATTTATGTTAGATAGAAGATTAGAGTACAAACAACATTTTTATACCCTATTTTTTTATTTATTTTAAGGGTCCTGATGCATGCACTGACTTTTTCTTATTCAGAGCATCAAAGCATGAACAATATGTCAGTTTCATGGTGGAAACTCAGGAGGACCTTCCACTTCACTGTCCCTTGGTAACAGAGTTGATTTGTCAGCACCAACAGCCTATTCTCCTATCAAAGATGAAACGGGTTGTTCAACAAGCAGCTCGATGCTATCCCTTAAAGGAAACTAAGCAGCTGCCTGTCTAGTTTCTAAATGATTCATAGCTGCTGGCTACTTGAGTCAAATGCAAGCTACTCAACGCAAATTTAGAAGGCAAGCCTTACATTAATCCATCCTGGGGTATACTGTACAAGGAGCCATGCCACAGTGAAAACTAAAGTGTGAAAGCCAGTAATCTATCTGTGTCAGAGTTCAGTTGTGTTTTTGTTCAATTCAATCACATTTTGATGGGTTTTTCTTAGTTCTAGATTGGTCATTAATTCCTAGTTATTTACACCAATAAGGGTATATGATTTGATATGGTTTGATAGCATAAATTTGTTTATAATAAAGGATTTTCAAAAGAGTATCTCTAATGTCATATAAGTAATCTTTACATAAAAAAATTATTAATATTTCAACAGCTGATAAATTCAACTCTAAATGTTTCCCTCAATGATGATATTGGACGGATCCATTTTGTGTGTTCACCAAGGTGTACACAACATAAAAAAATCCATGCAACCTCGATACAACATGACGAAGAGTTACACTGAACATTTAAAAAAAAAGCAATTATTTGAATATAGCCAAAAAGATATATTTGAAAAGCTGGTTGTATGTAAGTAAATGGTATGCAAGTAAATGCATGGAAGAGGAACTTCATTAAAGGCGCCTGAGCTGAAACTATATTAACATATGCTGATGTGAATTTATCATTTGTTCTAGACTGAAGAAGGAAAATCACACTATAATATAATCATTATTCACTGTGGCAAGAAAATAAAAATTTGGCAACTCATATTTGGTTTTTCAAATAGCAGGAGATAATTGTGAATATGATAATGAGGAAACAGGAATACACAGCTTTTTTACATTCTCATTCCAATTATTTCCTGCCTACATTTGCAAATACCACAGTGCATTCCAAACGAACGAGACCTGCACCATGTTGCATCAGCGACCTGCCATGTGATAAATCTATAGCAGATTGGCTGAACAGGGGAGGATGACAGCAAAGGGTGGGATGCTTTTGCAGGGGACAGGGAACGAGGTAGGCAAAAATGTAAGAGATTTCTTTGCATAGCAAAAAGATAATCCGAGAATCCCTGTTTCAAAGGGATCCCCCGTCCCTTAGATGTTATTCTGATGCTGAACTTTTGTATTCATCAGCTGCTTAATGCATTTAAAAATGTAATTTTGTACATGTAACATAAATGTCTTTGCTGAAAAGATGTACCAACTTCATGCTAATTCATTTACAACCTAGTCAAAAATTAAGTGAAAACCTGTAATCCTGCATGTTTAGAAAAGTAGCACACATTCCTTAAGATGAAAGCCTACACAACAGACACCAGTGCATGCACTGACACACTCCCATGCATAATCACAGTAAATTATGAAGACTCACCTTCAGTGGGTGAGGTGTTCAGTCGTTTGCACAGTCCCTCTACTCCCCCGTAGTCCTCTTGGAGCTTTACCACTGCCTCTGTGCCACGCAGCTCCATCAACGAGCGCAGCTCCATGACCGAGCAGCCGAAGCCTGCCGCATGGTTGCCCTCATTTCTTTGGTTCTTGGCATAAAAATCACTGTTGGACATGTCCCCCATGATGCCAGCTAGTCAAGTCAGTTAGATTAGTGTTTGTTATTGCTTAAAGAGAAAAAAGCTTGCAAAAACAGCTCAGTCTCATCCAAAAAAAGATCCAAAATTAGTTTTAAGATGGCAACAATGATCAAATTAGGGATAAAATGATACCTCTTATGGGTAAAGTAAACAGAAAAAGAGATTAAAAGGGGGAAATCCAAGGGGATAGATTGACAAGCAGCTTCTGCTTCAGAAGAGAAAAAAATTCAGCGGACCAAAAACCATCCAGGAAAAGAAACAGAAGAGGAGGAAAGAGAGCAACGGTGCAGGAGAGAGAAGGAGATGACTAATCACAAGTGGGGAGCATCCAGGTAAGCGCTGGACAGCCCCAGTGGTTAGGTCCTGAGACAGGCAGTAATGGTGGTTTCAGGTCCTGTTGGTCTCAGGCTCACCACGGCTGCAGTCCAGACCCACTCCATGTGTGGCTTCCCATTACTGCTATTCTGCTCTTGCCTCTGCTGCCTCTACATGGTGGTCTTCCCCATCACTGCTACAGAGAAACAGAGAGAAAGAGAGAGGTAACGAATACATGAGATGAATTGAAAGAGGACAGTGAGCGAGGAGCAGGGAGAGACACGGAGTGAGAGCACAGGGATGAGCTTTGCCTTCTCAGGGTGAATGCAGCAATAGATGGTTCACGGCTGAAGGACAGCCTCCCCTGGCTGCTGCGGGAACTGTGCATTTGCTCTCTCTATCTACTGCTTGTGCTGCTGGTGCCGCTAACCTCATTCTGAGCACACACACCAACTGACGGAGAGAGAGCAAGGATATGAAAGAGGAGGAGAGATAAGACTGCTCCTTCCTGGTGCAGAGCAGAGAGGAGTTGTGCACAGGCGGGAGGCTGGGGCTGCTCTGACGACAAAGAGGAGAGTCGGAACGTAACGCTGCAATGTCACGGGGAGGATGGGCTGAGCTGGGAACCCACCACTGTTTTCTTACCAGCAGGAGTGCTACCATTGCTCCCTTTAGTTAGTGCCCTCTCCTGTGAAGTCACTCTAAATTAGTGGCACATTCCCCTTGTTATTTTACATGATGAAAAGCTGAAAACCAAGTAATTGTCCAACTTCTGTTTAAAAACAGACTGCAGTTTAACATAAGAACATTTCAGGCTTTCAAAGACACCTGGTGCTCTTGTCATTGTTGGGTTTTTATCATTATTTATTCTGAAGAAAACAAATACATCACAGCCCAGAAGCCAGGAGTAACAAAGGGAAGGCAGTCAGTACAGCACAGCTCCAAGTCCCTAATATCTCAGCCTCCTATTCCACATAAAGATGTAATCCATATTGATCCGTCTTCAATAATTTCAATGTGTGTCCTCATTATTAATGAGTTACATCAGAGCCTCAGTCTAAAGCACTCTTATCATCTCCTGCACCAGATGATTTGAAGGTTCATCATTAACATTATCATCTGAAGTAAACCTTTGCCTCACAGCTGCCCTTTATCAACACCCACCCACACAGAGGGGAACCTGGAATCAAAGCACCCAACGTTTGTGTTCTAGTAAACCTGCAATGACTGCACTGTCTTTCCATCATCTGTAAATAATACTGTCAGTGTTCATAGAAGCCCCAGTGTTGTATTAGCACCATATGCTCAGGAAAAAAATATCTAACCTTTAAGATCAAAATAAATCAAACACAGTAAAACACTGATAAGGTGAGTTGTTACAGCATTATCAGGTTTTTATAAAATCAGTGATTGCCATTCATACATTATCTGTCATTCTGTCAATATGTGTATCACTTTGAAACTCTCTCTCTTTGACAACTCTTTGACAACTAAACATTTAATAACATGAAAACTGCCAATCAACAGAATCCCATTAACACATTATTATTATAACACAAATAGACAACCATTTCCATCAGGATCTAAACATTCAAATAAAAATTACTACAACACCACTGGAAATGACAAGTCGTCCCTGGATCTAATCCTGGCATCTGGCATTCTCTTTTCTATTTGTTGCCAAGATTTGTTGCCAAAGTACCCTCTATGGTGTAACAATACAATAGTTTATAAATTTGCTAAATATATCCAAACATTTTCAGATTTTTCTAAAACAAATTCTAATATTGGTTATGTCATTTGTATGAAGAGAATAAAACTGTTAAAATTTTCTGAGCAGCATTCTGAAACTGACCTGCATGCTGTTTTTCGATTAATTTTGCATTGCATCCAAAAGGGCTTAAGGACATGTAATTTTCCATGAATAATGAATAAATAAATAATGTACTTCCATTTTCAAAAGACAGCTTTGAAAAGGTCACATACATTTTACATCATTTTTTAAAATGTTAGATGATGATAAGATAACGGTTGGAGCTTTAAAGAAACTTTGGCTCATCAACAGCAGATATACTATGTATAAGTTAACTTGTGTCTCCTGACATTAATTAAGCCCTTCAAAAGTCATCACTGTTCATTAAAGTATGTATCTTAAGCTTCTCCATTAAAATAATACCACTCTAAACATTTCCTCATTTTGTATTCATGGATCTGTGAAAATGTAAATTGGTCCATGACTATCTCCTTCGCCCACCTGCATCTGGAGCGTACCTGCTCACCTTCGACTCTGCTCAAACACTGGAAAGCAGAGCAGTGGCAAGTTGTAATATGCGATTGTCCATGTTAAAAAATGCAAATTGATTCTGAAGAGGAGAAACAAATTCAGGGCCACCTACAAGTAGATAATCCAATGCATCGCTCTCTGCAACATTAGAAATGCAGTTGAAAAAGATCACTTATCAAACAGCTTATAATATATTGCTAATGTTATATAAACCTTTTCCCCAATTATGAGATCTGACCCATTCCGTACTCAAACACATTTGGTATATAGTTTGTGTTGGGAGAAAAAAAGGACAGAGAGCCCTGTTCGTTTTTTCGTTGTCTTTTTGGTTGTATTTGTTTTTTACACTGCCATAGCTTCTCAAGCAGGAATGCTACAACTTCACTTAGTTTTGTTTTCATATACAAATCACTATATGGCTATATTTAGTCTATTAAATATAGAGCAATTCTAAGACAGTGGACATGGTAATTTGAGCTGATGGCGAGAACTTTAGTCTGAATAACAAAGTCAGCAAGGTGTACAAAAGCTGATATCAAGTGTGTTGATACAGATGACACTAGTAAAAGATACAGCATGCTTTGAAACAGAAGGGCACAACCTTATCACAGCAGGATGGTAAGAAAGCCTGTCAACATGTGAATGCACATCTATGGACCAGAGGCACCACTCCACGAGCTGTAGTCCTGCCTGTTAATGAACCCCAGCGCTTCCTCAAGTTAAAAAGTGATAGGGCTATGAAACTGACACTAACACACAATCCCCCACCATTCCCCCCCCAAAAAAATACATTACTGTATTAAGATTTTTCTTAAGTCGATTAGGAAGAGTAATTAAGATACCTTCTTAAAAATATTAATCCTTAGTTTTCTGATTTCCCTTTATCTATTTACAAGAGCCATTCATTACTATAACAAAGATGTATGGTTTCACGGTTTCTTAAAAAGGATAGAATAGGGAAGGATTAGATCTTCTGCTGTTTTTCTCCAACCTTTGATGTTTGATGCTGTCCCCTATTTTTCCTGCCAATCAGGTCCTATCAATGTTGGCGGCACTCTCCACATGCCAAGGCAGACATCTGTGCCGACCAGATCGTCCAAAGCCGTCAAATGAAAGCAAACAAATGTTCTCCCAGAAAATTCTGTGTATCTGTGTCTGTGTGCGACTGTGTGTAATTGAGATTGGCTGAGTACAAATACTACACCACACAGGTAATTCTCTGTCAGAGCAAATGGAAAAAAGTCAAGAGATAAAAACATGGGAACCACTCTTGCTTGTGTGGTTTACCATATGAGGAACTGTGATTTCTTAGCCATTAGTCTTTTTTACATTGGAAATCATCCATCGCTCCATCCATTATTGTTACCGCTTATTCCTTATTGGGGTCGCAGGGCAGACTGGAGCCTATCCCCTGGTCAATGGGCGAGAGGCAAGGTACACCCTGGACGGCCCGCCAGTCCATCGTAGGCCACACAAAGACATACGAGGACAAACAACCACGCACACTCACACTCACTCCTAAGGGCAATTTGGAATGTCCAATCAACCTAACATGCAGGTTTTTGGACTGTGGGAGGAAGCCGGAGAACCCGGAGAGAACCCACGCGGAAACATGCAAACTCCACTCAGAAGGGTTCTGGGTTCCACTCCCAGGGGACCCAAGACCTTTCTCCTGACCTTTCGAACCCACAACCCTCTCGCTGTGAGGTGATGGTGCCATAACACCACTGTGCCGCCCCACTGGAAATCAATCCCTCCTAAAGCCAGGTAAAGCAAAAGTAATCAAATTTCTGATTTGTGCATTTTCATGGAGAGTCTTAGTTGTTAAATATCTAAGCTGGCAAAAAAATAAGGACAGACTGTTTCAGGCATTGCCAGAGTACCTGAAAACCAATAATGCTCATGAATACAAAAGACAAAAATAAATAGAAATAAAACACACTTGGATGCCAAGGGGTGTTATTTTAAATAATTTTTTAGTCTGTTAAATTTAGGATCTGATATCTAGGAGTTTGTGGGACAGGCTTAGAACTTGAGCAGCTGACTTGATGCTATCTGTTCATTAGCAAGTATATTTAAATTTTAAAATTAATATGGGTAGTGTTTTTTGCCTACCATGCTGCCCTGCAGCTGCTTAGGTTTTCATAAGAATGATGTGTGGTTGAGGCAAAAAATGAGAAGTGCATGGGAGAGAGAAAAATATGGAAGGGAAAGGGGTAAAAACAGCAAGGGACAAAAGTTGAAAGGCAGGAGGATGAAAAACAAAAGGTTAGAAAGAGTGGTACAGAAACATGAAATCAAAATGGAAAAACATTAAAAGAGAGAAGCAAGACAGGGGTGACGTGCACTGCTAACAGTGTACCTTCAAAGGGAATGAGGCACTTTT